CCACCATACAGTGTCCTCTACAACGTTATGACACCACCATACAGTGTCTTTACCAATGGTCTGACACGACCATACAGTGTCTCCTATCCTTTTTTTTTTTATGTATTTTCTTGTTTTGTTCCTCTCTTCAAACTCAAGTTGGTTAGTTTCTATCCTCCTTGAGTTTGCGGGGGGCTGTTAGAATTTACCATCACCTACCACCACTACCACCTCACCTACTCCACTAAACCTAACCCACTACACCACTATCACCATCCACTACACACCATCCACTACACCTACATCTATATAAGGAACCATTTGTAATAGACAACAAATATACATCAATCAATAATACTTCATTTTTTACACCTACCTCCTTTAATCTTCTATATATAGGACTCATTGTAAACAGAACATAACAATCAATCAATAATACATAATTCATTCTCTCTATTTCTTTATACATCAAATTTAACACTTTATTATTATTATTTCTAGACGGTAGGATTATTCACTGGATTAGGAGAGTAGACAGAGACACACAAGAGGGTAGAATTCAGAGCGACAACTATGGTTTCATGCAGAATGCAGGTTTGAGGTCTATGCACAATTTAAATAAAGTAAAATAATCAGACAAAAAAAAAAAATCAAAATTATATCAATGTTTTCCCTAAATAACATGCAGCCCTTGTTTCACAAGGTAGAAATTGACAAAGTGAAAGATGCAAGCCATGACAATAACAATCTAGCTCAATCCAATTTACATTAGTTATAAGCAGAACCTGGCAACGGCTATATCCTTGGCTTCAGCAGAGAATAATCCAGAGACTACTTTTGGAACCCCTAAAAATGGTCCACCGATATTCATTACTGCCTTTATATGCTTAGAGCACCAATCTGATCCACCTCCACCGCCCATTGGAGGCGGTGCCTCAACCCATTTCATAAAATGCAAAAAGTAAAGAGCACCCATTGAATGTGGTATTATGACCACTTTTTTCCCTTCACTCGTAGCTACCATGAGTTCTATACTACTTTTTATCCTGCTAAGTGTTTGATCGCGTACCTGTTCAATTCAAGTTGGAATAATATTCATCTTATGTAAGAGAATACTGTACTAAATAGGCAAGATTAATTTGACCTTTAAATTAAGAATTACCAACTTTACACCCCTCAATAAGTTTTTGTATGAACCATCTTTTGACAGGCTTGCCTCTACATTAACATTCCCTTCCAATCTGTATGCAAGTCATGTATCAATTTTACTAGAGTTTGAGAGTTGCTCCCATCCATTCCGCACTCGACATTGGAGTTCAATTTTATTAGCAATACAATACCATACATGACCAACTTGGCAGGCATTGCAAGCACAGTAACTAAGGGCATGTAATCCAATGGTCGACGGAACTGGCAAACCAAAAGTTATTGAGGGGTGTAAGAACAGCAATTCTCAGGTTCAAGCTGATCCAAACGTAACTATTATAACCAAAAAAAAATATTGAAATGAACTATATCATCCACAGGGGGGAAAAAAAAAAAAAAAGACTCTTAGGAAAAAGAAAGGGTATGTCTCAAAAATACCTCAGTATTCTGAAATGAGATCCTCCAATCATATGCAGCCATATACATGTTTTTCTCCTCATATCCTATGCGTGCCAAATTTGCGATTAGAACTGCCCATACAAAATAACCAGGTGCAAAGTAATCAGCTGCCACAAGTCCAGATACAGGCCTAATTCTTACACCAGAAGGGTCCAATCCAGTTTCATTATCCAGTGACATGTGCTCAACCCAGCATAAGGGTCTGCAGAAAATCACACACAAGGCAAAATCATTTTATTAATCAATTCCACCAACATTATTGCAATGAAAAATTCACAAAGTGAAACTTTTAGAAGGAAACAAAGGTCAGATATCAGTAAGCAATGGAAGTTACAATTATTAGAACCAGAAGAACCTTGTCAAGCTAAGTTATTTAATAAGGACTCTAATGGCACCTGCTGTACTGAGAACATGACAAGGAGTACAAGCATGTGCCATGCAGGTTTAACATCAAAGATCTGAATCTTTATAGGACCAAAATAATTGGTCGTAAGTTCCCCAGGCATGCAACCTCTACATTTTTCATCAAAATAATAGTTTAAACCACTATTAAATTCCAAAGGGTATATATACATTTTTCATCAAAATAACTAGTTTAAACCAATATTAAAGTCCAAAGAGTCTAATATCATGCTTTGATGGGTTCAGATGATCTAATTTTAAAACTGCACTTAGCATCCTCTCAGCAAGCAGAGATGAAATATGTTTTGAAGCACAAGCATAAAAGAGTGAACGACTTATTATACTCACAACTAACGTAGAAAACCCTAAAATGTTAGACAGCAACCAGTGTTCAGTTCATTACTCTATAGCTACAACACGGATGCATCAATGATTAAACCTTCCAATTAGCACTTAGTGATCATCTTACCAACTATCCCATTTTAGATGTAGCATTGTTAGGTTTTTGTAATTGGCAATCTCGTTTGACAAAACTCCTTTTAGTTGTAATTTTATTCGCTATTTTGTTTTAGTAAGGCTATGAGTGTTTAGATGAGAATCCAATCCAAATTGTGCCTATGTAGACGAGTTTGTGTTGACATTCCGTATCATGAGCATTCTTCATTTACCACTTCGTTGACTATGTACAAAAGTCAAAGTGGTTTGACCGCTCGAGTGTTCTTTTGTGCGCTCGAGCGGTCTTTTGTGCACTTGAGTGGTGAAGTGAATCATCCAGTATCTTTGCCTGCAAACTGAACTTCTGGATAATATGTTTCACCGCCCAAGCGGTGGATGATGCGCTTGAGTAGTTAGCCTATATGTTTGCACCACCTTTTAGTCACACCGCTCGAGCGGTAAAGTGTGCGCTCGAGCGGTCTTCACGACTCTGTTTAGTATAAAGTGCGCCGTTTGCTATGTTTAGGATTTAACCTGTCCAAATTCTCAGAGATGAATAAAATACCAAGTGTTCTATATTGAAGGGTGTTTTTCTATAAATTTCCTTAATGTATAAAAGGTGATCGACTGATCGAGGAACTATATAGTGTCAAATTTCAAGCGTTGTTTTCATTCTTTCATTCACATAAAGAGAGAGGTGTTCATCGGTGGATTTCGGAAACTTCCTGAAGTTTTGATACATTCCGGAGTGACTCATCATTGTGGATTCGACATCGGCATTGTAAATTCAATATTGGGCAAAGCAGTTCCGAGGTAAAGACGGTAGTAGAAGGGGTACATTAGGTTTGGTTCAATTCAGGCACGGATTCGCTGGGTAATTGAGGGTACTCACGTGTTATTCATTTTTATCTTCTTAGTGGATTGTTTTATGATTTTGGTCCGTGATTTTTTATCACAATTGGAGGTGTGATTTTTTTCACATTAAATCGTTGCACCAATTTGTAATTGATTGTTTGATTGAGATTGGAATTGATATTCACTATTTAAAATTGAAACATAATCACGAATCAATATCTCGAGAGTTATTAGATTTTTCAAGCATGAATTGACTAAACACTCAGCAGTGAAATGCAATGAAACCCCCATATCAGTCAACAGATTCAATTGTCAAAATGCAATAAATCTTTTTCATTATGCTGGCAAGGTTAGATGTAGCATGAATTGACTAAACACTCAGCAGTGAAATGCAACAAAACCCCCATATCAGTCAACGGATTCAACTGTCGAAATGCAATAAATCTTTTTCATTATGCTCTCAAGGTTAGATGTAGCATGAATTGACTAAACACTCAGCAGTGAAATGCAACAAAACCCCCATATCAGTCAACGGATTCAACTGTTGCTCAAATCCGCATTGGGTTCTTCCTCCTATTCTATGCACACACAAACAGTTTTTTTAATTAGAATATATATAATGAAACCCTTTTCATTTACATGGTTGCCTGGCCCTTATTTGTTTTTTTCCTGCATCATGTTTTACCATTTTTTTCTGGTGTAATCAATGAACCACCTTTCAGGTTCAGATTTCAGAGCACCAAATGATTGGTCCACAACATAAAGCAAAGCAAGCCAATTTGTGATAACTGGTTGAATAAAAATCAATTCAGTGTGTTTAGTTTCAATTTTCTGTATCTAGTTTTTTGAAAATTGAGTTTTTTTATTTTTTGTGTGCTTTTTTATTTTTTTTTTAGTGAATATTTTTAAAATTTTAAGCAATTTTTTTACTTTTCCATGCACCTGATTTAGATGTATTTAAATAGTAAAATATTTGTGAAAAAATATTTTAAAAAATTAATAAATACATAAAAATACAAAAAAATGTATTGAATTTTCGTAATTTTTTTTTGTATTTTTGGTATTTAGTAAATTTTTTTAATTTTTTTTCACAAATATTTACTTTTTAAGTGTATTTATGTCAGGTATGTCTAAAAATTAAAAAAATTGCTTAAAGTATTAAAAAAAATCATTGAAAATAAAAAAATACGAAAAATAAAAATATAGAATATTTTGAAAAGTGTTTTCTGAAAACCAAAATCAAACCAACTGAATACTCCCCTAATTTTGGTTCTATTACTGACTCAAGAAAGAGTTTCTTTCAAAGTTATCATCAACCGCTAGTACAACTTTCCAAAAACTATCAAAACCAATTCCCCCATTAATTGCTAAGATAGCCTCTCTACTTTAACGGTCAATTACATTTTCTATTAGCATCCCACAAAAAAGAAAACAGAATAGACACTTGTAAAATTTATCTTTCACTAATTTAGTTGAAAAACAGAGACTCATCAGTAACAACACCCATAACTTTATCTTTCACTAAATTTAGTTGAAAAACAGAGACTCATCAGCAAAAACACCCATAACTTTCCATCTATCAAAAGCAATTAAGCAAGTAAACATACTTTTTGCTCCACATATCACATTCAAAATTGTAAACAGTTCAGTTTGGTCAAAGTTGAGGGAAAGTTTAGCACTAAAACTAATATTTTGGTTTTGTAGTTGAGGAACAGGAAACAAACCGCATGCTACTATTTGGTTTTATCGGTTTGGTGTAGAGGAGAGATTCACACTATAAAGCTTGTAGAATTTCATATTGAGGATTAATGAAAAAAGAAGAGAAAAAAGGAAAAGAGTGAAAGTTTCTCTATCTATGCCTTCCTCTCTTAACTTTTATTAGAAAAAGGTATTATCGGTTTTGGTTACTTCAATTCTAATGCTCAAATAATTAAAATATAAAAATATTAAATACTAATATTTTGGTCTGATTGTATCGGTACAAAATTTTCAAACCCAAGCGGACATGGGGTTTGTTTGTTGCAACTTATAAGAGTTGATTATAACTTATTTTAATTTGAGAGAGTGTGATAAACTGATTGATGCAGCATTGCTTATAGCATTTTAGGTAAAAATACTTTAAACAAGTTGAAAAGAACTGATCCTTAAAACCTGCCAGAGGGTGATTTTACTTTTACTTTTACTTTCTCATTATCAATTTTTAGCTTACAAGCTACACCAAACAGGCCAATTACATCTTCAAGTCAGTTCATTGGTTTTTCTTACACCAATATTCACAAATGAAATTCAAAGTACACAAAACGAATTCACAAACTATACTATTTTCAAGCAATTTCAACATCAAATTAAGCTACTAGAAGTCACAATTATCCATCAACAATAGAAAATTAAGTTATTACCTTTTATACAAATCCCCAAATGCACCACCCCAAAGCCTCTTCCTGAACAATCCTTCAGCACATTGGTGGCCTTCCCAAAGCTCAAGCCCTCCGGTGACGATTCCGGGGACGAAAACCACCGGGTGCTTGGCCTTCAACCCTTCTTTCTGCAACTTCACCCCCGGCGGATCCGGCAACGGCCCCGTGATCGCCTCCGTCACGTACTGAGGGAACGAAGCAGGCATCGCATTTAACATGAAGAGCAAAAACCACCAAATCGAACACACAAGGCCGATGAACCAACAACAACTGTCGATGCAATTCCACTTCTTCGACGACCTCTTCAATTTCTTCTCCTCCTTCTCTCTCTCTTCCTCGGTTATTCTACTCTCTCTCTTCGTCTTCGACTTCTTCTTCTCTCTCTCTTCCTCGACGATTCTACTACTCTCTCTCTTCGACTTCTCATTCTCCTCCTCGTCCTCCTCCTTCTCTCTGTCATGCTGATTCTCCGAATTCGAAGCTTTCTTCGATCCAGCGCCCTTCCTACGCCTCACCATCGATGAATTGATTCAAATGCTCTGCATATATGCGTATATATGTATATATATAAGCCCTAACCTATAGTATATATATGTACGTATGTATATGTGTGGTGGTGGTGGCCGGAGGTGGGGTTGTCGCCTGCGGGAGATGGTGGTTCTGAGTGGTGGTGATACGTACGGACGGTGTTTTGAATCCAAGTGAGGTGGGACGAGCTACTACCTTGTTGGGGTGGACACGTGGTGTGATTTGGAACAATCTCTGTAGTGTTTTTTTTTGTATTGTACGCCGCTGGATTCTGATCTGGATTGTACTTGTGATGTGGATGGCCAACGATGGAGAAGTCCAGTGTCACGTTTTTAATACACGTTAGAAATAAATTATTATAAATTGTTGGGTAACTGCTGAAATAACTAGCGGGAGCCAATAAATTAAATAAAAAAAAGACAATTATTAATTATAATATTAAAAAAATTTATAAAAATATTTGACATAAACTGAGGGTTGAAAAACCCATTATTAGAGAGTCAAACCATGGACATAAGATGTCTATAAAGGATTTTCATAAGCCATTAATGGCTAAAATGGACAACCCATTAAGCCAAAAAATTATGAAATTCACATGGAGGATTTTCTGTTGTTTAGTTTGAGTTTCATGAATTCACTTTTCAGAAAATAAAAAAAAAATATTGTTTTTTATTTTTTTTTTTGTTTTCACTGAATTTTTTTAATACTTTAAGTAATTTTTAAAATTTTTAGATATACATAATATAAATACAATTAAAAAGTATAATATTTGTGGGAAAAAAATTTACTAAATACCAAAAATATAAAAAAATAAAAATTCAGTATAGTTTTTATATATTTGTTAATTTTTTAAAATATTTTTTCACAAATATTTTATTATTTAGATACATCTAAGTAAGGTGCATCTAAAAAAATAAAAAAAAATTGCTCAAAATTTTAAAATATTCACTAAAAAAAAACACGAAAGATAAAAAAAAATCAATTTAAAAAAAATTAAATTCAAAAAATTAAAACCAAATACACTGAATATTATTTGTAACTAGTATATTATGAATAATATAAAAAAAAGTCATGAATATAAGTTTTAAAATAAATTATATAATGATAAAGTAATTTTTTATACAAAATTTGAATAAAAATTTAATATAATAGTAATACCACGCCATTATTGACATGTGATATCACTAATTAATAATAAAGAAACACATGGAGGATAAATTTCACATGTCAAATGTAACTAATAATCTAACAAATTCTATATTTTCATTAATTTAATTATGTTTGCATGTCAATAAATATAGACATCATCATTATATTGAAATTTTTATAGGTAATAATATAACTTATCATAATCTTTTTATTTTCAATCAAAATAACCATTATTGTTATCATAATTTTAAAAATGTCATTGACATTCCACTCTAAATAATATTTGTATAAATTTTTTTATTTAAAATATTTTCTTTATATTTAAAAAAAAAATCCTAAATTCAGGGAGGCACGTGACTCTCTTGGGCCCTCTACGCCTCCGCCACTAATAACTACTACGGTACATTTTTCTTTCTAATTTTTTTATGTTTAATGAAATTCTTTGATTTTAAGGTTTTTTTGAGTAATAAAATCAAAAAAGTAAAAAAAATTAAAAAAATCATTTGGAAAAGAAAAAAAAACAACTTATCTAAAATTTTCAATAACCAAAAAAAAAAAAAAAAAACTCTTAGCATTCATAAAAAGCTTAGTTTTTTTTTTAAAAAAAAATAAAAATAAATAAATAACTTTATCCTAAAAAGTGAAAAAGTAAAATATAATATTGTGGTAATATGTTTCAATATTTTGATAAAAAATATTATTTGTTTTGGAACGATATTTCACACCAATTATGGAATAGTATCTCCTACCACTAATACAAGAGTCTTTTTGTACTCTTTCTTATTATTGTTATTTTTATTTTAAAGTTACCAGACTATAAGAAAATATGATAATAACGTAACTGGCGTGTACATGTGCGGATCAGTTTTCGCAATAGAATAAGATGGAACTTTGTGGACGAACTTTGGTGTACTGATGGCTGAGGGTCTGTATAAGGAACAAATAGTTAGGCTGCCCGACTGGAGATTGGTCAGAAACTCCTCCGACGGTCGAGTCAGTACCGGAGTTTGGTAGAGACAAGATAGAGAAAATCAGTGTGTTTCTAGAGTTAAGAGATTGTCCCTTTCAAGGAGAGTAAGGTTATCTTTCATAAGGATCGTATGACTTATTCATCAAGCTCCCTTGTTTTCCGCTTGGTCCTTAGCCGTGATGGTAGCACATCCCTTAATAGAGGGAAGCAAGTTCCGTCATTCTCGGGCACCACGTGCCTTTTAATTTACATGGTATTGATTGATCTGTTAGTACTCATGTGTCGTGGAGTGGGAGCCTTCGGAGTGAGGAGTGGTGCTAGGGCCAGGCCCATGGTCTTTCCTTGTTCGGAGTGGGGAGTGGTGCTAGGGCCAGGCCCATGGTCTTTCCCTCTTCGCAGTGGGGAGTGGGCCAAGACTGACTCCTTAGCTCGGCCCATCATAGAGTAGAGGGAGAGAGAGCCCACTTCGGAGTGGGGATCTTCGTCCAGTCCAACGAGGCTCCATACAAATAGGCTTGAGTACGGAGTGGGGGCCTTCGTCCAGTCCAACGAGGCTCCATACAAATAGGCTTGAGTAGGAAGTGAGGACCTTCATTCAATCCAACAAGGTTCCATACAAATAGGCTTGAGTACAAAGTGGGGACCTTCGTCCACTCCAATGAGGTTTCATATAAATAGGCATGAGTAATTGTGCCCATTTCACATGTTAATGGATATATGCAGATAGAACTCTCAACGTAAAGTAGGTGTGTGTCTCCGATGTCTTTTTTTCTCTCACGAGTCACCATGTAGCGTACTTTTCTTGGAGCATGCGCAACAATACCTGAATTGCATATTGATGTCCCTTTTACTCCTTGGACCATGTGCAACAATATCTGAATTGCAAGTTCATGTCCCTTCTACCTCAACTGCAGATGTAGGTTGCAAGGAGGTAGGTAGGGAACATGACATGTTCTCTACAGGTCCACATTGTACTCTGTATTGAGTATAGCGATGGCGGTTGGTCACACACTTTTTTTTTTAGGTCGTCTCCAATTGATATGAATCGTAGTCGTTTTCAATCGACCTAGTTAATTGGTCAACTGTAAGTCAAGATTCTTCTATCTAATTAGCCCATGTGAATTTGTTGATGTGTATGTGGACTAATCGTCTTCCCTTTAGCCTTAAGCTTGGACTGAGTTTGTGAGCTTGGACCGATTCGTATTTGTTGATACTTATCAAATTAAACGTATGATATTAGTGTTTCCAAAGTTCCCTATGCGGATGAAAACATATGTTTTCTTTTTATGGCAGGTTGAGTGAAAATGATTTTTTTTGTCATATATATAGGAATTGAATTAGTAGATACTATTCACTAAGTCGACGTGTGTAATGTGTTTGTCGTCTTTATCATTACCATTGAGAAAGATAACAACAGTTCCTCAAATTAAGATGAGTAAAGAGTGATTATGATTCCCACATAGCAAAATATCAAATATATAAAATTACTAAATTTGGGGATAAGTCAATACATATCAACTTATGGAACAATATATACATTCAATTCCGATAACATCAATATTTGTACATATTTATTCCTTTCTTTCTATCTAGATCCTATATTAAAAACCTTATTAAGACAAACTTAATAGATGACATATCCTATATATCTTATATAATTTGGACTAGGTTTAATATAATTTCTATATTATTTGGAGCATTACATTAATAACCATGAATTTCACACTCTTTGACAAATGATGCATTCAATCCATACAAGAAACATGATTTTATGGCGTGAATGCACTAATCTCAATTTGTACCAACTCAACAACAATCTTTGCTCTGTTAATTTATGAAATATGCAATAAATTTAAGATGATTATGGGTTGACTGCATTAAGGTAGCTTAAAAATTATCTATTTTGTTTTTTTTTTCCAGGTTAAATTAGTCCAAAAATTAAGTTTTTTTGACTCTAAATATACCTATACAATTACTAAAATAACATTACAAGAATAAGTCAAGTGCCACATATATGAGCACTATAATTCTTGATATTTGTATGTTTGTACTATTTTGTATAACTTCTTTGTCTTAGAATAAAATACATTATACAAATTAACAAATCTTACATATTATTTTTACTAACTGATAGGGGTATTAAAGAGTGCTCTAAGACATTATTTAATATTATGATTGATGTGAAAGTGTCTTGAAAATAGATGAAAATATTAAAAAGTGTATTAGTAATTAAAATTGAGTAGTACTTTCAAAATTTATTAAAATATTTTTTTCTTGTGTATCATAGACACTTGGTGTTGATACAAGACCTATATAAAATTACAGTAGTGCTAGACCACTAATTTAATGGCTCTAAATCCACCACTAATGAGGTGACAAAGCAAAAAAAAAAAAAAGACACAATACATACTGTGGAAAAAAAAAAAAAACAGACACAATACATACTGTGGTAGTGGGTGAGACCCACTGTCACATCATTGGTGGTAGTTCTAATTAGAACTCCCACTCTTTTTTCATAAAATCAATCTAAAAACAATTCCAAAGCAAGCAATAATCAAGTTCATTACACCCAAAAACAAAACAAATAAAAGTTTATTGGGCTTTGCGAACTTGAGGTTGTTTGTTGGGTTGTATGAAAATTTGGGTGAGAAGTGAGAATATATCCCTCAGGCCCAAAAGATAACTTTTCAAATGAACAGTTGCCTCGAATGCTTACGATCAACCAACCCAGCAAAAAGTATCGACAAACAAACCCTACAGATACGCCCGGTGAAGTTCCGGTTGCCGGTAAAAAGTGAAGCATATTTGGACCACTTTTTGAATGTGAAAATGATAAAAAGAGAAACTAAAAAGCTAAAACAAACACCTCCAAATTAGAAAATTAGGATTAAGAGATTGGAGCTCCCACAGGCGTTGGGGTTAAAAACCCCATGTTGCTTAATATATAGTATAGACTAACCTATCACCCATGCTATGCACAGAATAATTATAGATATTTATATTTATTTTAAATTTTTTTAATATATAAATTATATTTTTTAAGATTTTTTTATAAAAATGATTTAACAATCTTATCACTAACTATAATGTATGAGAGAAGTTGAAAAGGGTACTGCAGTAACTATACACAAATTGTATCTACAATTATTTATATGAGGGAATTTTAAATATTGATCAGGAGATTTTGACCAAATCAATAAATGTAGACATGTGGAAAGGCATGTGGATTGAAAAAAGTTAATAAATACTGATTAGAGAATTTTGACCAAATCAATAAATGCTGAGTTTTTTTTTTTTAATAAAAAATTTAGAAAATTCTGATTGGGATATCGAAACTCCCACAGGCTTTGGAGTTAAAAACTCCATTTTACTTAATATATAGTAAGTGTATATATATATATATATATATATATATATATAAGATGAGAGAAATAAAGTGCTATCTTATTATAATGGAGGAGATCTTACAAAAAAAACGTGTAGACATGAATGCCCTCCTATTTTATTGTGTTTACAATTATCTATATATGTGAATTGTGATTTTTAATTTTTTTTAAATGTCTTCTTTTTTTTCCTTTTTTATATTATATTAAAGTTTAATATTTTGATAATAATCACATGTGTTGGATTTTTCAATGAATTAAATGTCTTTTTTCTTATTATATATTATATTAAAGTTTAATATTTTGATAATAATCATATGTGTTGGACTTTTTAATAAATATTTTTTATGCTTGTTCTTAATGTATTAAAGTGTTATTATGAGGGATAATAATCATATGTGTTGGGACTTTCAAAAAATTTATATGTGTTGGATTTCAAAGAATTTTTTTATACTTGTTCTTAATGCATTAAAGTGTTATTATAAGGGTAAAACTTGGGAGTTGGGAGAAGTTAATAAATGCTAAAATTTTTTTTTTAATCAAAAAATTAGGAAATTTAGATTGAGAGATTAGATGTTCTTAATGCATTAAAGTGTTATTATGAGGGTAAGACTTGGGAGTTGAGAGAAGTTAATAAATGCTAAGATTTTTTTTTAAATCAAAAAATCAAAAAATTTAGATTCAGAGATTGAAACTTTCACAAGATTTAGAATTAAAAACTCTCTTTTACTTAATATATAGTATAAATATAGAAGTATAGATACACATGTACAAAACAATTTGTGCCAAAAAACTCTCATTATGAAGGTAGACTCATTTTCATAGGTACATTGTGTGAGAGCTCTCACCTAAGGGTATATTTCACATGAGTCACACGCACCTTGATTTGAGAATTTCTCTCCATATATTTTCTTTATAAATAATATTTCTCTATTTGTATACATGTATATTTAAATTTTTAAATAATTTAATGATTAGGAATTGAACTAAAATTGGTGTGAAATTGTAGTAGTTTAAAAAAAAAAATTAGAAGCATTTTAAAAAATAAAAAGCAAGACAAATTTTGAATTATATGATTTATATCACATATATCATAATTCCATCAGTACTGTTTCCATCTTCTCAAAATTCTTTTTTTGGTTATTTTATTTTTTCTTGCCTACAAAAGCATAAATATAAATTTGGTCTTTTAAGGTCTGTTTATTTATTTATTTTCCCTCTCAACGGTATGTTGTTTACTTTTATTTTAATATAACTGATTTATATATACTTAATAAATAAATAGACAAAACAAGACTTTTTTAACCATTTTCATAATAATTTCAGTAATTCTTTTATCATTTTAAAAATATTTTTGTTCAAAATTGAAAAATTTAGAAACCCTCGAAATATTGATTTGTGATTATATTTCAATTTTAAATGGTGAATATCAATTCCAATCAAACAATTAATAACAAATTAGCACAATGATTTAATATAGAAAAAATCACAATTGAAGCAGCTTTAATTGTGATAAAAAATCACAGACCAAAGTCACAAAACAATTCATTAAAAAGACAAAAAATAACTACACACGAGTACCCTAAATTACCTAGTAAATCCACGCGCCAAATTGAATTGAACCAAATTCGATGTGCCTCTTCCACTACCTTATTCACCTCGGAATTGCTTTGCCTAACGTTAAATCCACATTGCCAATGTAGAATGGTTTTTCCTCAAAAAATATCCTCGTGGGGACAAGGATGGTATTCGAAATTCAATCCTTGATCAGTTTTGAGCCGGGGATGGGGATAACTTTCACAGCCCCGAGCCCGATCCCAACCCTGACCTTGGCCCCAATCCCGGCCCTGTTCCCGTTTCTTTGGGAAGTGAAATTAGTATCATACCCCCTCTCTCTCTCTATATATATATATATATACCAAACCCTAAAAACACAGACACAATTCACTCACACGCCCTCTTATCTCTCTCTCGGTTTCTCTCTTTCTCTAAAAGCCTCCATTCTCCTCCGCTGTTCTTCTCTCCGTTCTCCCATCATCGTTTAACTCATATCTACAAACTCAGATCTCGATCGTCAATGCCAAACTCAGCGGGGCCACAAAGTCTCTGATTTGCCTCATGTGGCTTGGATCTCACTCTTCATGCCCATCGTGCCGCCAAATCCTGTTATGGCTTGGTATCAAACCATTGGCGATGTGTGTCCTCTCTCTCTCTCTAACAGACAGAGTTTCTCATCTCTCTCTCTAACAGTGGAGATTATGATGTGCATGGATCTATGGTGTGTATGATTAGAGTTTTCAACTATCTCTCTCTCGCGATCTCTCTCTCTCAACTCAGATCTCTCTCTCTTTGTGATGTTGATGATGTTGCTGTTGATGTTGTTTGATGATATTGTTGTTAATGATGTTGTTGTTGAATCGTTGCTGTTGCTAACTTGCTGCTGTTATTTGGGTTTTTGTTTTTTTTGGTTCGGGAAATTTTCAGGATCAGGGAAAGCTGATCCCTGTTAGGGGGTGGGGACGGAGACTGTGATAGGTTCCCCGTTGGGGATCGGAGTTGGGGATAGAGACTGTGATAGGTTCCCCGTCGGGGATCAGGGCCGGGACTAGGAATGAGGAAATTTTTACCATCATGGATTGGGGACGAGGAGTGTGATCCCTGACTCGTTGCCATTCCTATTCCGAAATCCACTAAAGTTTCAGGCCTAAGTTCTTCGGAATCCACTGATGAACACCTCTATCTTTTTGTGAATAAACAAACAAAATCAATACTTGGTGTTTATTAATATGTAGTTCGTTGATTAATCGATCACATTCTATACATCAAGGAATCTCATATAAACCACCCTTCAATATAAAACACTTTGTATTTCACTCATCTCTGAGAATCTAGACGGGTTCATCCTTAAAAATTACGAACAGTGTACTTTTATACTAAATAGAGTCGTGAAAACTGCTCGAGCTCACATTTTACCGCTTGAGCGGTGTGAGTAAAGGGTGCTGCAAACATATAGGCCAACCTTTAGAACGCAATATCTACTGTTCGAGCGGCAAAACATATATCTCAAAAATTTAGTTTGTAGACAGAGATATTGGATGATTCACTTCATTGCTCGAGTGCATAAATAACCGATTAATTCCCTTATATAGTCAGCGAAGTGACAAATAAGAAATACTCAAGATACATAATGTCAGTACTAACTCCTTTACATAGACACAATTCAGGTTGAATTTATATTTAAACACTCACTAACTCAATAAAATAAAAGAGCGAATAAAATTATAACATTTTTTTTTTATTAAACAAAATTGCTAATTATAAAAATCTAAAGATTGTTTTTTTTGATGTGCTCTGGTACCAATTGTTACAAGATTTTTTTATTTTTAATTTGTGGGACAGATAGTTATTAACTTCAAAAAATAAAAAAAAGCATAGAGTAATTAATATGAGGAATCTATATGAGATGGCGTAATTTAAGGAGGGGCATTAAAAGTGGCTGAGCACGGGCACTCAGATGTCTCGTTATCTGTGCTTCCAAGCTCTCTCCAACCAGCCCACAAACGACTCATTTCCCTCCTTCCCTTCCATTCCATTTCACAGGTCTCTTCTCATTCCTTACAATTCTTTAATTTCTATACATTCATACATTTCTATATCTACGTGTATATATATATATATATAACAAAGCATTGTGCTAATGGTGTATCTGATGACGGCGATGATGATGTTGCAGGAGTTTCGAACGAGCTTGTGAACTCCTAATTCACATCACTCAGTTAGCTTCCCAAACTCTCTCTCTCTCTCTCTCTCTCTCTATATATATATATATACACACACACATATATACGTTTATATATCAGCAACTGGAGAATCGAGAATGCTGACATGCGTAGCCAGTTCGAAGCAGCCCGGCGATGAATCCCTCAATCAACCTCAACAAATCAACTCCCATGCCACTCCAAATACCAAGCTTGCCATCAAATCTCTCACTTCTCAGGCAATTCAGCTCTCTCTCTCTCTATATATATATACACACACGCACATGCGTATCAAGTGAATTAGGGGAATGAATGAATGCTCTGTTTTCTCTCTCTCTATATGTGTGTGCGCGTGAATTATTAGGGTTTAGTGTTTGGTTTTGCAGATCAAGGACATGGCATTGAAGGCATCGGGGGCGTACCGGAACTGCAATCCGTGTACGACGACGATTCAGCAGCAGCAGCGATACAACAAAGGCTACGTGGAGTCGTCGGCGTCGGAGAGATTCCGGTACCGGAGGACGGCGAGCTCGAACTCCAGTTCCACGGCGTCGAGGCAGTGGGGGAAGGAGATGGAGGCGAGGCTCAAAGGAATCTCGAGCGGGGAGGGGACGCCGGCGTCGGCTAGCGGGCGCCGGGTCGACCCGATCGTGTTCGTGGAGGAAAACGAGCCGACTGAGTGGGTCGCTCAGGTGGAGCCAGGAGTTCTCATCACCTTTGTTTCGATGCCACGTGGCGGCAACGATCTCAAGCGTATTCGGTTCAGGTACTTTCATTTCATTTGACTGTTCTCTCTGATTTGGTTTGGACGGTCCTGATTTGCTTATTTGTTACTCTTCAGACGTGCCTCCCAGTCTAGACATGTTTAACAATTGAATTAGGTTTAAGGGTTGTTTGGGATGACTTAAATAAATGTATTTTTTATTTTTTTATGAAAATATGTATAGAAAAATAGACAAGTGATAAAAAAAGATAAAAAGATGAATTATTTTTGAGTTGCCAAACTTAACTTTAATTTCAAGTGTTGTTTTCGTTGGTAGGTGGCTATTTATTTGCTTCAATATTTTTTTTTTCTTTATTTTTTTGGAATTAAATATTCTGAGTCTTAACATGTTTAACAATAGGCTTTAATTTAAGTTTTATTTTAGTCGGTAGGTGGCTATTTATTTGCTTCAACATTTTTATTTTTCATTATTTTTTGGAATTAACTATTCTGGGTATTTTAATTGATAAGGAGCTTTTAAATACATGCTTTAAATTTCAAGCAATTATGTACTTTACATATGTAAAGAGCTATTTATTGGGTCTATTTAAAATTGAATGGATTTAGAGTTGTGCATCCAATTGGAGATGCGTTATTGGGCCTTGGTATACATATCTCGCTAATTTAAACTGTTTATATTATATAGTCAGTTGATTAGAATATTTATGTAAATCAATATTTAAACTGTTTATATTATATAGTCAGTTGATTAGAATATTTATGTAAATCAATATGGTCGGATAATCATAGCCACATGATTAGATAATATTTGCCTTAAAAAAATAAATTGTCTATTTTTAAAATTATATTTATCTTGTGTTTTTGTTTTTTTAAAAACAATTGTCATCTAATGTAGTTACTAATATCCGAATAATTTGATTTTTTTCATACAAACTAATGGTTTGATTACCAAGTAGGCCTTTGACGGCTCATCAAGCCCAGCACAACGTCTTCCAAGTTCCAACTGTAGTGAATCCATTCCCATTTAAAAATTCACAAGTCAATATCACTTGCAACTTTTTCCAATGACGAAAATGCCCCTTAGTGCATTGTATTCCCAATTGATTGAGTGCTGACAAAAAGTTTGGATGGTTGTTTTTTTATATTTGTTATGATAAAAACATGTTTACAAATAGGAGGTATTTTCTTTTATGCCATGGTCGTTGTTTGGCTATGATCGAATATTCATTTTCTTGGTTCTGTTGTCAAAGGGAATTTGTGTTTCTTGCTATTCTTGAATGGTATTTTCTTAGCATTTTCGAAATAATTTGATTGCTTTGAAGAGCAAAATTTTTGTTAATTTTTTTTTTCGATCGGTAAGTGGTAAAAATGCCTTCTGAGTTCTAGTTTGGAATGTCTCATTAATTGTTAATCAAACTGTGTCCTTCTTACAACCTGAGGATACAATTAATGTTGTTTGGTTGTAATGAAAAATTGATCTCTCCAGTTTTTATTTTTTTATTAATTTTTTTAATTTTTTTTTGTATCGCAAGTAGGCTTGCGGGGGTTCATCGACTGCAACTTTTAACAGCCGAACTACATATAGTAGATTTATTTTTTCATAATTTTTGAAGATAATATTATTGTAAAGAAATACGCACTCGTAAAACAAAAATGCAAACTTTTTTATTGCTTTCGGAGTTATCTTTTTGTTTAATAGTTAGATTTGCACTTGATTTTGAATCCTAGCCTATCATCACTGTATTAGGTGTTCCACCCAAACAGGGCCTTAGAAACCGCTGTTAATTTCCAAAAAAATTCTGAGCTGACGGTAATTTCAACCCACCACTATGGAAAAGCAATCCTAAATGGGTTTCTTTTTGAAAGTCCTAAAGGAGAACTCATCATAACTTGTTAGTGGGCCTGGTTTGATTGTGCTGAAGAAGCTTTTACAAAGTGTTGTTGTCTTGTCGGGGATTGGTCTACCCTTCCTTTTTAATCTTCGTCACGCTTAATTCCTTGGCTTGTCTCCTTGTGGCTATTTGTTGTCATTTTATTTGTAAATAACAAAGGACTAATTCGTATATGTGCATTTTTTTTTGTCACTAACAAGGAACTGGGCTGTGAAGCTTTCACATTTTTGTTCACTAGTATAAAGTAGCAAACTTTGAATATACCATGTACCTACTTTGTCTGTCACTATGGAAATAGAACAAGTGACATGGCTATGGAGCTTTCACATTCTTGTTTGCTAGGACAAAGAACACAATTCCGATATGATTACATTGTTCTGGTAATGGAAAACCTAAATTGCAACTACAAAAGTGCATTTTTCTTGAATTAAGAAGAAAATTTGCATAGTTAATCGTCTTATCTTCACCTCTTGGATGAGTGTATGTGAAGACATGTACCCGTTAAAAATGATTTTAGTTATTCAATTATGTTGTTTGCTTACGTAACAGAATTAAGCTACTGATTGATTGTTGCTATTTTTTTAAGGAATTAGATGCCCACTATGTAGTCAATGAAACTTATTATATTCCATGCACTAAAGGCAGTATTGGCTTTTCAAAAGCCTTTATGAGGGAGCACCGCTTTTTGTCAATAAAGCTTCGGTAGGCCCAATTTAGTGGCTACACTTATAATAAAAATTTCGTAATAGATTACCTAGTATAATGCTTAAGAGCACCTCTTCATGATGGGTTTGGGCCTTGAGGACTTTAGCAATAAGCATGTGGTTCCTATTTATAATGTGTCACGAATAAAATCTAATTTCTCATGAGTTTGATAATTTTTTTTAACATGCACAGTGAAGGCCATGTTGACAATTCCCCAAGTTATTTACCATTTCTTATGCATTGTTTTGACAAACTTATTCAAGAATTTTAATTGCAAGTTTATATCCGTTGATTAGCCGAGAAATGTTCAACAAATGGCAAGCTCAAAGGTGGTGGACAGAGAACTATGACAGGGTAATGGAACTCTATAATGTTCAGAGGTTAAACCGTCAAGCTTTCCCGCTTCCAACTCCTCCCAGATCTGAAGATGAGGTGAGCTATGTGCTTAACCGTGGACCATTGAATATAAAGTGGTTACACATTATCCCCATTTCCTTTTAAGGTGTCGGAACTTATGAGTGTAAATTGAGAAAGTTAAATAAAAATAAAATAATAATACTAATACTAACAATAAAAATAAAAATAAAAATAAAAATCCCATGCCAATAATGTCATTTTCCTGCCTTTGCCAGATTTCAAAATTGGAGTCCGTTGAGGACAGCCCTATTACACCGCCACTGACTAGAGAACGGCTACCTCGCACCATGTACCGTCCTTTGGGAACTGGAATGGGATACTCATCCTCAGATTCACTTGATCACCACCCAATGCAATCTCGCTACAACTATGACTCTGGTCTGACCTCAACCCCAAAACTGTCAAGCATTAGTGGAGCTAAGACAGAAACATCATCAGTAGATGCCTCCATAAGGACTAGCTCATCAAGGGAGGCAGATCGCTCTGGAGAGCTATCCATCAGCACTGCCAGTGATCTAGAGGCTGAATGGGTTGAACAGGATGAACCAGGGGTTTACATTACCATCAGAGCACTGCCTGGCGGCAAAAGGGAACTCAGACGTGTCAGATTCAGGTTAGTTTTGTCTATCAACTCTTCATCAATTCCCTTAAATGGGTGGGAATACCTTTTATTAGCTGTAGTATGGAGTGCTGGACATTGCCACAACTGACATGGGATGCCAACATCCTCAGCTCCGTGCATGCACGGCCTTGGCTTTGATACCATGTTAGACATGCAGCCTAACCCCAACCTAAGATTATTGTCCCCTACGATCCCCACTTAATAGCCAGCCTCACGGATTTGTCCCTCTGGGTTCCAACCCAAAAAGCACCTCCACAATGGAGTTGTGTTCTGGGCTGTCGTATAAGTCCATCTTGGACATTGTTCGCAACTGATGTGGGATGCCAACACAACCCAACAATAAATGACATTGCCAACATTGTTTAGGCTATATGGTAGCAAATGAACATTATGTCTATGATTTTTCTTTACTGCTTCATATGGTAGAACAATTTAGGTGCGTATTTTCAGCCTCAAACTAAGGTGGAAGAAACATAGTAACCTGTATTCTTAGAGCTGGTGAATTTGCTACCTGCATATCTGACCAGTCCCATTCATTGTTATCTGATCATCATCATACCAGTGGCAACGGATAGCATAATAGTTAAAATTATCAAACTCTTTCTCTGGTTAGATGCGATATCAGTGGAAAAAAAAGGGCCACCCATGTTTTTACATTAATTGGTACTGGGTAAAGATGCAACCATTTGATCAGACAGCTACCTTTTCTAATGGGTCGTAATGTATCCATGTTGTGTTAAAAATACAGAATAGTAGAAGATGATCTATGATATCAGAGCCAATTGGTAAGAAATCTGTTTTTGTATAGCATTTTCCACGCATTAATTAGAAGAAATTTAATAATGGATTTGAAATTTCGCAGTTTATACGGCGTTTGTAATGAAAGTAGAAAATTATGAAACATGGTAAAATCAAAAATACTTCCAATTACTCTTTTTTGAAATGAATGAATTCTGTATTTGTATTGTCTTGAGCTGAATTGGGTTTTTACCCCTCTATTATGCGCATCTGTCGTGCAGTCGAGAAAAGTTTGGGGAGATACATGCGAGACTGTGGTGGGAAGAGAATCGAGCAAGGATACATAGACAGTACTTGTGACTGACTGAAACAGTATGGTTTCAATTGGTCTTGTTTGCTGATTGGGGAAGTGGCGACTTCACAGAATTCTTTGTTCTGCCATTCCGTTGAAGTCGTCTCTTCAAGAATGTGACAAAGATATGCTAGCTCCTGGCTGCATTGTTTGTAACTGAGTTGCATTTATATATGAGTCGTCTTGGCGGCTTTCCAATTGCTTCTAAAATATCTTTGTGAGTTGTGCTCTCTCTCTCTCTCTCTCTCTCTCTCTAGTGGTGTAAAACTGTGTTGGTCAAAGCATGTTGGTTCTGGTTCTGTATTTGGAGTATTGGTGGGTATAGAAGTTGAAAGTTGACAAATATTGAATTTTGAAGTGCAAAACAATGTCAAATTAATGAAATGTCTATTCTCTCTTTCCTGTTCTTCTTAAGGCTAAAGAATAACTAAAAATGCTGCCATGGTGTTGTGTTAGCTTATGGGTTGTTTTTATTTCTTATTTTTAAAAGTAGTGTTTAGTGCAATTTTTTATAGCTTGTTAGGCTAAAATAAATTGATAAATTGAAAACCTAATTATTGAGAAGTTGGAGGATTGATGCTTTTAACTTATTATAACTTCAAGTTTTGCGTCCAGCTTGAAGTTGATAATGACATGTAATTTTTTTTTTCTCTTAATTATTTATTATTATTTTTTAAATAATTTTAATAATTGAAATGATTTTGAGCTTTCTGCCACTTCGCCTGGAAAGAGAATTTGACCAAGATAATTTTGGAATTGCCGGTTGCATGCTGAACTGTAACAACCCACCAACAGAGTTACTAACACCAATTTTGATTATTTTTATTTCATAAACAGAATAAAAATCTCTATTTTATTTCATAAGTTTGTAACAATTGTTAAAATTTTCAGAGTTGTCTACAATTAACTCGTCGTTACAAGTGTTAAAGCTTTATTTGACTATTTTTTACTACATGATCATTAAATGAAAATCAAATGGTGAGAATGAGAAAATTGAGTGGGTATTTTCAAGTGCAAAAGCCATGACATTATTATATAGGATGAATTATGAATATTTATTCTTGAGATGACTTAAAACCATAAAGGAAAAATCACCGATAAATCCCAAATGAGGTAATGTTGTTTCATTTGGTTCTTTATTTTTTCTTACGAACCATTTGGTCCTATTTAGTTGGGTAGAAATCTTTTTATTTGATTTGGTATTGTTGGAGTTTACATATTTACCCATTTTTTGTGGGATTGAGTGGATTCTAGTGCTGACGTGGTTTTGTTCATCGGGGTAATGTATTTTTACATTTCTGTTTTATGTATATTTGATTTAGTGATTTACGATGAACTTGGTTAAATTGTTGATGTGGGTTTGTTGGTTGTGAAATTTTATTTTATTACTCTGGGAAGTCTGTTGTGGTGTTGTGGATCATTAGCTGGAATGAAGTTTTCTTGAGTTGTCGAATGTGCCCAACGTTCAAGTTCACCTCGATCATAGTCTTGATCACGCCGACAATGTTCGAATGGTACATAAATTTCAATAGGTTGACACGGGGCCATTTCTTCATGGCTGATGCAGGTTTTGTACACTTGAACAACAACTTTGCTTGCTTTCTCACTGCTAACCGGGTCGGTGTGCATTTTTTCATACCGAACCCTCGCGTCCGTACAATGGGCACTTTATGGGGGATCTGTTGCCGGGCGTTACCTAGCACATAAAAAAATATTGTGTCCTTTAGATTTTTTTGCCAAATGGGTTACCTAAGCATGCTGAGCAATAAGAGACGAGGATGATAATTTCCATACCAACTTAAACACAATGCTATGGACATTGCATTCCAATGTTTGAAACAACAACGACACAAACATTATCATGGTTGACAGTATGCCGAATCCAAAAACAAACATGACTGCCAATTGAATAAAACATAAATGGGGTAGCAACTGTGTGATCAATGAATTGCGTCAAAATAAAACACACCAACACTGAAGCCATTTTTTTGTTATTGACTGATGAATCAAAAACCAACATATGGGCCTGATGTTTCCCTGTGAACATCCAACCAATATCACACACCTCCCTTATTTGGGAATTAATGATCCCACTCACATTCTCACTAGTGGCAACATTGGCTTTACCACTTTGGGGACACGATATTACCAACACCAAATGTTAGCAACGCCACGACAATCCCACACTAACATAACAAACCATTATACAACGATGGCAATCATTTCACAAATACACGTAAGGGCAAACGTACCGAAATGCATTGACCTACTATCAAACTACCACTAAACAGCTTTTACGTTTCTAATAGACCATTTGACATTAGAACCAAATAAGCATTGGTCAAAAGTAACACATTCAGATCTAAAGTTACAATGCGCATCGGCTTAACATCAACGCTACACTACCCTACGCATGTAAATGATCATACGTGATATGCACATGGGAAATTATGTCCAAAAAGCACATTGCGAACATTGGGGAAATCAGTGAGTGCAACAATGACACAGACACCCCAACACCCAAAAATCAATAATCACATACAAAATTTTCAAAAACCATCAACGATTACAGTGGCCAATACTAAACACCTTCGATGTGCCGCAAAACATCTTTTATGTTTCTAACCTGCACTACGATGATGTACAACCAAATTTGAAGGGTCTAAATTAACACATTCACATCAAGAGTGAGAAGATGAGTTTGCATAACATCAAACTACCACCACACATCTTTGATGTTACAGCGCAACCACGCAACCTAAATCACCCAAACATGGCATTCTTAATCATTACAGCTCGAGACATTAACATTGAAATTATACCTGCACCCATTACCGTTCAATCAACACCACCACTACGACAAATATTGACAACAATATTAACCAATGTCACACTACCAACGATATGTTCACCATCATCTGGAATATGCACATGGGAAGTATGCCCTAAACTCACTTTGCGAAGTACATTGGGGAAATGAGTGAATACAACACCACACACACTCAACACCCAAAAATAAAAATCACAGTTAAAATTTTCAAAATACATCAACAATTACAGTTGCAAAAGCTGCACACCTTTGAGTCTCATTGTCATCGTTAGCAACTCCAGTAATGGTTGAATCGGCGGTGTATAAGGGTTGTTTGGGGTGTCCTAAATAAGTGTACTTTTTGTCTTTTTGGACTAAAAAACTAAGGAAGAAAATATGGATATTTGGGTTAACTTTTTGACTTTTTTGGAAAAATATGTAATAAAAAATTGTAAAAATTGATTTGTAGGAAAAAATTAGGATTGAGAGTTGTGCAGCCGTAATTGTTAACTTTTGATGAATAGTGTTAACTTTTTAACTTTTTGGCTTTTTTGCAATATGCCAAACTTGGCCTAAAATACTAATGTCTGTCAATGTTAATCGAATCACCGGAGAAGACGACGCTAAGCTTTGTCTGGCACAGTCCATGATGCTCTTACTTGATATGCATAGTTTAGATATTCATCCAATTAGGGTTCCTCCAGAAACACCAATGTGGAATTCATACAATATCTCTTCAGAAATCCAAAAACCACATTAGGTTTCAATCAGGATGGTAACGTTCAAATGTGGAAATATTGATCATCAATGTTTCCTTATATAGATTGAAAGATTCGATCAAAAACGAGGAAAAACTATAAAACCCTACAGTGTCCTGTCTATCCAGAAGAGTAATTTTACCTGTACCCAAAACCTACATTGCTATCCAATTAAAACATAAACATGCACATGATGGAGGACAAATGTGCCATTTCGTACGTTTCAGGACTTTTTGGTTCAACAGAAAAGATGCAAGACTAATTTGTGCATAAGTCCATTATTTGAGATTTACTGGTGCTTCACTCAAATATAAATTGTCCTCTGCAATTTTGAAAATTATATTATGCCCCAAGTTTTTAATCGCATAACAAATGACTCATTTTATTAATAAATTATCAAGTCATTTATAAATGCATTCCTTTATTATTATTATTATTATTATTATTATTATTATGTTAAAATTACATTAGAACCCTAGCAAAAATGTATAAAGTTTTATAAATGAAAATGATTTATTATAGTTTTAATATAGAAAAATTTAGTCAAAACTCTTCAATAAGTTTGTTCATGGAAAAAGGACACTTCAATAATTGTTGATGTATAAAAACATTCAAAATAGATTTTTCATTCAATAAGGACACAAATATAGTATATTTTATTTTTATAGGCTGTTTTTAGGGGTTTAATTTTGGGGAAAAGCTTCGTAGCTCGAAACATGTGGCTCAAAATTGGCTCAAATACCAAAAACGACGTCGTTTTGGGTATTTTTATTTTTATTATTTTTTCTTTTTCTTTTCTTGCTTTCGATTACAATTGGCAGAGAAAAGGAAAGAGAGAGAGAAGAGAGAAGAGAAGAGGAGAGGAAGAGAGAAGAGGCGAAAGAGAAGGAGGAAGAGAAGATCGAAGGTGATGGAAGAGAAGGAAGATCGCTCGACGGTGATGGCGGCAATGGAAGAGAAGAAAGACACCGGTCACCGATCGCCGATCACCTCTGCTTTCTCTACTTTTTTTTGATCGCCTCTGCTTTCTCTACTTTTTTTTTTTTTTTTTTCTAGTTGATTTGGATCTGGATCTAAAGGGGGAAAAAAAATTGTTGATGATGATGATAATGTTGATGAAGATGTTGTCTGTTTTCTCTACTTCTTCTTCTCTCTGTTTTTTTTTTTGTTTCCTCTTGTTAATCTGGATTCAAGATGAAGGGGAAAAAAAAATATTTGTTGTTGATGAAGATGATTTTGATCCAGATCTAAAGGTGAATATATGTTTATTCACCTTTTTAATCAAGGGAAAGAAAAAAAAAATGATTTTGATATTTTTAATTTTGATTTTGATCCAGATCTAAAGATGATTTTGATCTAAAGGTGAATGAATGTTTGTTGATGATGATTTTGATCTCTTTTTCTTCTTCCTTGGGTTTGAGGAGAGAGAGAAAGAGGGGGGGTTGTGTGGCTGTGTGAAGAAGAAAGGAGGAAGAAGGAAAACCAAATTCGAGCCATTCGAGCTCTATACTCTCGAGCTACGTAGCAGGGTCGTAATTTTGGCCTGCGCACTATTGGGTCGTGTGGGCTTACCAGCCTTTTTTCGAGCCTGGCCATTGGCTGAAAAGTAGGGGCCTAGGCCCAAGATCAAATTAGGGCCTAGGGCCTAGTCTCGGGCCACAGGCCGAGTCTAGTGGACCTTTTTTTTTTTGTGTGGAAATTAAACGATAATTATATTATATATAAAGGTTATTTATGAGGGATAAAAAAACAAAAGAAAAATTGTACTAAAGTATTTTAATTAAAATTGATGAAATGTTTAGTTATGTTTCATGTGGTGATATTTAAATT